CGTCTCCTGCTTGCCATTGCGGAAGCTGGACTAACCAAACCACACAGAAAGTTCATGCGGCCAACAAGTGTCCCCGAAGACGGCTTGGAGCAAATGACACTTTATTACGTTCCTTATTTGTTTGGCTGTGCTGCAAATTGTGTGGCTCTAGCTTTTGAGTTCCTGTTTCAAACAAGGCTAGTCAAAGCTTGCCAGAGACGTTCAGCACGATTTTGTCGACTACAATGAAAAATGTCTGGCATGTTATTTCTGAATCACGGACTTCACATTTTATAGTAAAGCGTACTGCTTGCACGCGGTGTGGTTCGAGAACAGAAATGCTCTCGAATTTCTGCAGTTGACTTAGCTCTGCCTGTATCAGAGCGAATTTTTAACATAAAGTGATAGTGCGCTCTTATTTTAAAGAAAACGAAGGAAATGGCAGGCACAATCCGTTTCGTCACTTACGAAAAACACGGGCAGTATCAAGCCAATAGCAATGTAATAGTGAAATTCCCCGTACACACAAGCAGGAGGGCAGAGAAAATGTGACACGGGGCTTACTTATCTTGTTTACTGTGATGTTATAGCACTTATCACCCCAAATCTGACAATAATTTCCTGCGAATATAGCAGCGAGCTTAAATGGGATGAAGTACTTGGCCGTGAACGCATCTGGGTGTGAGGCACTTTAAATAAAGTACGCGATTCAAGAGCCTTTTGAGCAATGATAACTGAATTTTAGTTCACTAGATTAGCACCACGTAGAATGTCCGCATTACCCTAGGCAGTATCAAACCAACAGCAATCTGGTCGGTAATTTCCCATACACACAAGTAGTTGAGTTTTTATGAGTGTTATATTCGGGGTTGCTTCCCTTTTTTGTTACCGTGTTGTTGTAGCACTTATCACCACTAACTCTGAAAATAATTCACCAGCAAGTATGCAATGAGCTCACACGAGATCATGGACTTGGTCGTTAATACGAGCTGAACGGTCCAAATAAGTTGTGTATTGAGACAGAAACCACGATTCGGCCGTGTATTTTACAGTTGCATGCAAGTACCTTGACGATCACTTTCGCAATACTTTTAGACACTCACCAATGCTTGTGCCCCTAAATAAACGTCTCAGATCACTTTGTGATGTCTGAAACCTTGTTTTCTGTAAATTTCCAGAGCGTTTTCAAAAAGAACGATCACAGAATTTCGTCCACTTGATTAGGACCACGTAGAATATCCATATAACCCTTTTATGGCGAGTGACTCTGAGCCTATGTGAAGAGTTTTGTAAATGTCGTAGACAACTGGTAATCGCTTGGGTAGGTTACATTGCCATGAGCACTTGTGTTAGTTTTTTTCACTTTCATGCGACAAAGTTTCACTCACAGCGCACCATGACGTGTGTTATCACTATAGAGGAGCACGCTGTGCGTCAATAATACTTCATATTTTACCCTCTTTTCTCTTCTGCTCATACTGTTCCTCCCTAACGTGAGAGTAAGATGGAAGAGAACGAGGACGACTTTGTTTTCCAAGCCATGTGGGTCCAGGCCCAATCGTGAAATGTGGGGAGCGAAGCTGTCCACCAACGTGCCCGAAGACCTGTCCGCACAGTGATGGGTAGGGCCTCCGATCCGCACAACCCAGATCGGGAAGCTTTGAGCCATTATAACGACACCACCATCTACAACCGAATTCTCTGAAAAAAAACGACGCCACCCACCCCAACCCGCAGGTGATTACATCGTGCCAACTCCGAACTCATTCTTTGACCTCCCCGTATGGGTACCCCGTAGCCCGTAGACAGGATAACCGCTGGTCATTAAGGGTAACAAACTGGATGCCCAGAGAAGGGAAGCGGGTTAGGGGAAGACAGAAGGTTAGGTGGGCAGATAAGATTAAGAAGTTTGCGGGTATGAATTGGCAGCAGCAAGCACAGGACCGGGTTAACTGGCGGAACATGGAAGAGGCCTTTGTCCTGCAGTGAACGTAGTCAGGATGATGATGATGATGATGATGATGATGATGATGATGATGATGATGATGATGATGATGATGATGATGATGATGATGGGTACCAGATGATGATGATGGGTACCATAGCGAGTCTACAGCTCACTATGTGGCGAAATAACCGCCCTGTCCTCTATGCCCTGGAACTGCAGTGAAGACCAACCTTCACCCAATTTCAAAGTCACTCTCTCACTTGTAGCGTGGAAAAAAAATGCCCTCGTCCAACAACCTGGTGGTCCAACTTCTGGCTATAGAGCCGGGGAGAAGGCTGACCAGCGGGGCGTGTTAGACTACCTTCCCTTATAGATGACTGAACGTTTACGGGGTAGTGAAGTTATTCTGACAGCGAAGCTTTATTAAGCCGAGGCCTCCAGGCAGGGGTTCGTCGTAGAGCAGAAACGAATAGGTGTCACAACTCACGACTCCCACAACTCTCCACTATGCCCACTACCGGCACTCCTACCGCTTCATCTACCTACATCATTCCATTACATTTCCCCTTCATTCCCACTTCATTCAAAGTACACTTCATTCCCCTTCATTTCACTTCATTAAACCAGCTGAAATTATTAGCAAAACAAAGACCAATTTGTAAGCGAACGGCTTCGCTGTTTCAAAAGTATTTCACGGGCTACACACTGCTGGTTCAACTTTTTATGGGCAATCAGCATCTGCGTGGAATAAAAGATTTAGTCGTATCGAGCAAAGAGTTGTTTATCCCATTAAAATGATCAGTTTTATTGGTTCCTGGAAAAACGCATTTTTCTGAAAAAAAAAAGCTGAAAACATAGGCGCATGCTGTGTAAAATACTGGTCTCAATATGCATTTATATTGGCTTCTAGATTACACAATATAACAATAGTGATTTCATTTAAAAACGGCACAGTTAAATTCACGTGGTGGGAGAAACTGAAGACTGCCGTTAAGGACGGCTCTTCCTGTGGACCAGGCTGACGCTGAGCTTTTTCACCGCCATCTGGAGCAACAGAACGTCGGCGACCATGCTCGCTGCGGGGTCGGGGTTTTTTCAGGACGCCGACGATCGAGCATTCTTCCGCGGCAACCGAGTGTCTCCGAGCGCGACGCCGTTTCCCGGTTGCCCTTGGGGCACCCGTGGACGCACTGTGCTTCGGAGGTTGATATTGTACGCCGGCTTTTTCTTCAGTTACGGTGCAGCCGGCTTCAGCGTCCACTGCTTCGGAAGGTCGACGCTGCGAACGCTCTCCCGTGGTTCCAGTCTTCTGGATTGTGTTTGTATTGTCTTCGGGAGCCGAAGGCCTGCGCGTCCGTGTGCCACTTAGAGGCGCGCTTGCACCAACAATTGATTGCCTGCGCGAGCCGCGGCTATACCTCTGTGACATTTCAGTGGCCACTGCGGTGTCGGTGCGTTCATCGAAGCGGAAGGCCGTCGTTGTGATCCGCCAGCACGGGCTGCTTGTTCCTTGACAGCTTCGCGGTACTGGACGACAATAGACTGTCGACGTACTGGTTCAATTTTAATGGGACTGAATGTCTTGCGATCCTCGGAGAAAGCAGACGCATGCGACACGCTAACCGCGGTGCGAGAAAGAGCGGCGGAATCGAATGGCTTGCCCTTTGTGGCCTTGTAGAACAAGTAGTACTCGTACAGCAAACTGGTGTAGTACAGCTGGAAGATCAAAGGCGTGAGAACATCGGGGATAAGGTATCTGTGCAGGCTCAAATTGCGCTTAGGCGAAGCCCCTCAAGGGCTTGTTGAGAGTTTGCTAAGTGGATTTATAGCTTTACTGATGAATATTCCTATAATTGTTCCAAACTGAAACAACACATCAGGTTTTAAAACAAAGTTTCAGGATTTGTAGAAAAGTGTTACATATTGCCGTTGTGCACATATAAAATGCAGTTATTCCACAAACTTATATTTTTGGATTAACTTTCAAAGATATTTATTCGATTGCCAAGATTTGTATACTGCTGATATAGATGGTGTTTCACAATAAATATATCAGATTTCTCCGCAAGAAAAGTGTAGATAAGCGTCGTGTCGAAACTCAAATGTTATATGTTAGTCATACGCGACTAGTTCTGACATGCATGAGTGCCAAAGCAAATGTTAGAAGTTCTACAAAACAGACCAGAAGAGCAGACGTACTGCCACCACCTATCAACCAAGTTGCAGTGAGTTTACTCAATGCGCGTTGAAGGCAACACAAGGAAAGTCTTATAAAATGGCGCGCCGATGTGCTCTTTGATACGTCGTTCAGAAACTTGATTGTTTACAACGTTATTAGAAAGATGACTGAAAATACGAAAAAACACCTAGCGTATGAAGAGTTGTAGCGTATGGTAATGACGCTATTAAATTCGAATTTCATTTAATGGAAGTCATGCTCCCCCTACGTGATCTATTGCATTAGGCGGTCTCGAGCGATAGTTTGTGAAGGCAAATATGTCATTACAATTGATTCTTGATTGGCAATACCGCATGAAAATATAAGCGTGCGACCATTCATTAAAAGTTAATGTTAAGCATCTGCAGATATTTCCGCTTTATCGGGAACTACTGCAGTCATATTTCTCTTTGTTAATGCTTATGACACATAGTCCACGTGCTTACCTTCCAAAATGCAAGGAAGATGATGAGTGGTGCCCACAAAGCCAGAATCGTCGCCTGTTATTAAAGAAAAATCCAACTCGTTACACGGGGGTATACTGAGGCAGCGTTCAAGAAACCGTTTATAAACTTTTTGCGAGCCACTTGCCTTTTCTCTGACGCTGAGTGCATCCGCATCTTCATTGGTGTACTGTTTAGAAACAACAAAAGCGGCATGGATAAAGCAAGTGCAAATATCTCGCAAAGGAATGTTCAATCCGTTTTAATTGTAGTTACACGCTATATTCAAGTCATGTAACAAGTGATTGACCGCCAAATTTTATCCATTGCGTTCGCTTGCCGTATTTACGCACGTATTGAACGATGATGAAATACACACCCACTTGGGCGGATAAAGCAGGCCCATCAGGTTGCCAAACGCGCAGACATGCAGCGCAATAGCGTTCCATGCAATGAACACTCCCAGGACTCGTGTCATTTGTGCCTGCACACAAACAAGAGAGCAAGAAGTCACTTTTCAGATGTGGACCAATATTTCCAAAAAGCGAGCACACTGATATGAAAACCAATGACGTTAAGCTAATCATATATTTCCTGCAAATTATGTTCCCTGCCATACTTGCTTGCGTTCATGTTATGGTGTTCGCCAATGATTCACGCGTGTTTAACGCTGAAACCTAATTAGTGGCACTAATAACCATAGAGATCAGTAACCCTGCCATCAAGGAAATATTTCATCGCTGTATTTAATGACAAGAGCACGTTGTTCCTATCAGACATGTGCAAAAACGTTTGCGGTACCAGGCTGCGCAGATTGCAGCTCCGCGTAAAATAATTCGTTGCTATTTGAGTACGCCATATGTACCAGCTGTGATGATTAGGGAATGATCGTTCGCGTGCAACTGTTGCGGCAGGATAATTAAAACCAACAGTTCTAACGTCGACTGTTTCCACGCATACCAGGCATAAAACTAGGGCTGGTGCACGCATATTCAGGGTAATCGTGCTATCAAGCACCGATATTTAACCACAACTTGCGTTGCGTGTAACCATGACTGTAATGTTCCCGAGTGCAGTAAAGCGAATAAGTATAATGCAATGAAATGATAGCTACGAACAAAAAGTGAGTTTTGTCTCTGGGGTAAATCGACGAATGCGATAGCAACATACTGCAATGTCATACGCGTCAACTCGGGCTCACTTCTTCATAAAGAGACCTGGAAGAACTTAAAACATTGGCATGAATAAACGTTACCCTGCTGTCTACTGCTTCAAAGTAAACTTTGGGTTGAGAACATAACATGTAAAAAGGCGTGAACTTATTGATGCAAATATACCACTAGGCTCGGTCGGTCGAAGTACGCATTTCCTGCCAGACACACACAGCCCCCTTCAGCTACGCTGTCCTGCTGTCTACGCCTTCAACGCAAACACTGCGTTGAGAACATCACATGTAAAAAGCTGTGAACTCGTCGATCCAAAGATACATCTAGGCTCTGTCGGTCAAAGTACGCATTTCCTGCCAGACACACACAGCCCCCTACAGATACGCTGTCCTGCTGTCTACGCCTTCAACGCAAACACTGCGTTGAGAACATAACATGTAAAAAGGCGTGAACTCGTCGATCCAAAGATACATCTAGGCTCGGTCGGTCGAAGTACGCATTTCCTGCCAGACACACACAGCCCCCTACAGATACGCTGTCCTGCTGTCTACGCCTTCAACGCAAACACTGCGTTGAGAACATAACATGTAAAAAGGCGTGAACTCGTCGATCCAAAGATACATCTAGGCTCGGTCGGTCGAAGTACGCATTTTCTGCCAGACACGCACAGCCCCCTACAGATACGCTGTCCTGCTGTCTACGCCTTCAATGCAAACACTGCGTTGAGAACATACCATGTAAAAAGGCGTGAACTCGTCGATCCAAAGATACATCTAGGCTCGGTCGGTCGAAGTATGCATTTCCTGCCAGACACGCACAGCCCCCTTCAGATACGCTGTTCTGCTGTCTACTGCTTCATAGGAAACTTTGCGTTGAGAACATAACACATACATAGGTATGAACTCGTTGATCCCAAGATACGACTAGGCCCGGTTGGTCAAAGTACGCACTTCCGGCTAGACACGCACAGCCCCCTCCAGCTACGCAGCCCTGCTGTCTACGCCTTCAACGCAAACACTGCGTTGAGAACAGAACATGTAAAAAAGCATGAACTCGTCGATCCAGAGATACAACTAGGCTCGGTCGGTCGAAGTATGCATTTCCTGCCAGACACACACAGCCCCCTACAGATACGCTGTCCTGCTGTCTACGCCTTCAACGCAAACATTGCGTTGAGAACATAACATGTAAAAAGGCGTGAACTCGTTGATCCCAAGATACGACTAGGCCCGGTTGGTCAAAGTATGCATTTCCTGCCAGACATGCACAGCTCCCTTCAGATACGCTGTCCTGCTGTCTACGCCTTCAACGCAAACACTGCGTTGAGAACATAACATGTAAAAAGGCGTGAACTCGTCGATTCCAAGATACGACTAGGCCCTGTCGGTCAAAGTACGCAATTCCTGCCGGACACGCGCAGCCCCCTCCGGCTCCTCTTCATGCTGCTTTCGTGTCACGCAGACAGTAGGCTCATTTCATATCTGCTAGAACTGCGTTCATCAGCAGCGTTTACGTGCTTTCACTTACGGCTGTAATTAATGGTTATAATTTCGCTAGCGATTGCTATTCTTATATCAACACTTCTTTTTTTTGTATATCTAGTGGTGCCTTCATTGTAAACTACGTTGCATGCCGAAGTGCTTCAATTGCTTCGAAAGTTTAGTGGCTATAAACGCCACGGCGTCGAAAACAATAGCGTTACTGTGGTTGAAAGCATAAAAGAAATAAAGTATAACGATGAAAATTTTTTGGAAATAACAATTTATAGACTGAAATGCTCTAACGGAACTAGTGTTGCCAGCGACAGAGGGAAGGCCGTCTTCGTCGCAGCGCATTTGCAAACAACTGAAAAATCAGAAAAAAAGGTATTATTTTGCAGATTTTTATTTTTTGTGATGCCGTAGTGAGCATACATGCAGACGAAAAAGAGAGGTTTCGACACGAATTACTTTTTAAAAGCTATTGTCGTCGACGCTTTCGCCATTTTGAGGGCAATTTCAGTCCAAAATGGTGTTTCATGTTTATCACATTTCTTGTGCTTTGAATAGCCATAGAAGACGAACCTGAGAAACTCATATTGTAGCATATAACATCGGTTATTCAGACTTTAACGACTGCAGTTTCATATTAACAAAATATAATCAGACTGCGTACAACGGTGGAGCAGAAGAAAAGCCTAATGGTAATATAAGACAAAATAGAAGTCATGGCTAGTACATTCTGGTTCGTTAATATTTTAGTCACGTTACAATCTCTCTTTTTCGCCCTGTTATGGCAGATCCTTACAGAATCTACGAATTTACATAGTGGTCCAGACGCTATCATGGTGTTAGCTTTTCATATAGCAGGTCAATGAATTGAGCTAGTTCATGGCTGTTCATGATTTCTCGTTGCGCTGCGGATGATGAGACTAGGACAATACATTTAGTTCGGGACAGATAGATGGCGCACAATGCCTGCCCTGTGCTCCCTGCCTCGCATTAGACTCTCCATAACGAGGCGTGACAAGATAGTTTATCGTGGAAATAAAGCAGTGGTAACGCTAGACTTGCCAAGGCCTTTGCGTCATGACCCGGTTTAGCCCAAAACAACATCGCGTGCATGAGAGCTTCTGTGTTCCTCTCAATATAAGCGCAGCATCTACTACCTTCACAGTGTACTTGGATACGATGGCTCGAAAATTTCATGCAAAAAAAAAAGGCCACGTGAGACGACTTCAGAACTGTCTGTACAATAAGGCAACGCTAAGCGCGCCGTGGCCTGAGCCACTTCATACTCACGTAGCTCAAAGTTTTCTGAGCCGTTTCTGTGCTTCCCACCTGAAAAGACAATAGATAAGGTGTTGTGGGCATTAAGCTAGAAAAACAAACGATTGTCATTATCACCGCTAACAATATTGACCCAGATAAGGTTGTGGACCCCCCCCCCCCCCGGGAAATGGCATCGTTTAGTCAAAGTTACGATGTTGGCAATACTTATATCCAAGAGCATTGACTACTGCTCTCTGTTGACTGAATTAAGCATAAACTGCAACGTTCCCGCCTAAGCATTTTTGACGATATTGTTTCATCACATTAGGCCAACGGGTGTGAAACTGCGTGCACCCATCATTCTGACAGCAATTACTGCACATTCTGAGCACGTGAAACATTTTGCGCTTACTCTGAAATCGGTCACTTCGGTCTGTACCTGCTGCTGGCTCACCCCAAGAGTGGGCCAATCAAGGAAATGGGCACAATAGACCGTGCAGTGAACCACGAACTTGAAAAAAAGAAATGCAGATGGTGTTCGGCTTACGTTCAGGCATGGCCTGTAGTGTGAGGGTTGGATTCCGAAACGAACAAATGTAGCCATCTTGTCTTTCCACACCACTCCTTTTGGTCTTGTCTGCTATCGTCTTTGTTCAGGTTTAATTTGTAGGACACCCGCGTCGCCAAGGGGCTTTCTTCAGTTATTTTTCTAGCAGACGACAACGATAAGAAAAGCTACGACCAACTTGCCCTATAATGATTGCTGTATTATAGGTGCCTGAACGGTAGCTATCAAATAATGACTTTCGAGTCTCACTCTGTTTCGCAGAATCACTCCACAATTCAGGACGCCTTTTTGAATCGAAATGTTTCGATGTCACCAAAGATATTGTAAGTAATCGGCAATGTTGCAATTATTCAGCCCGCAATAAAAGTTTATGAACCACTGAAGCATGTGCGCCCCCTTATTTCTCGCACTTGTGCCGCTCTTGCTTACTTTTGTTTCAAGGCAGATCCCCACTATAGTGGTGTCAAGGTTGAAAGAAGTGCAGAGCTGCTTGGTATTCTTGGTTTCTTTTTATTTTTCTCTTTATTTCTTCCTTTCTTTCCTTCCTTTTCTCTGATGTGGCTGTTGCTCATCTCTTTTTTTTTCCCTCCATGTAATTCTATTTCTTTCTTTTCCTTTCTATGTATTTCCTTGTTTTCTTACTCTTTCTACCTTGCTCTTTTTCTCGGTATTTTCGCGTTCCTATGTCTTTTCTATTTCTTTCTATTTTTCTTTACCTCTTGTTTTCTCTCCAAGTTTTCTCCCGTTCATCTCTTCCTTTATCTATTTCATCCTATCGCATGCAGCAATTATTTATTATCTCAAATTGTGCTCGTTCTCTGACTTATCCGAGTCATTTCATTCCGAGCCGCAGAAATAGGCGCACGTGTTTTCGGAGTGAGTCAGGAGACGAGGAGGTATGTCTCAGACGAAGGAGAGGACGAGGGTAGCATGAGGATATTTATGATTCATTACTGTTCTCAATACCCGGCGCAACGGAAAGCTTAAAAAGTTGAAAAGCCTCGTGCCGACCTAGAACACTGCCGCACCACAGAAAAACAGAAGCGGATACGCCTCACTTAACTTACGCAAGTCGCGGGTTCGATTCCCGGCTGCGGCGGCTGCATTTCCGATGGAGGCGGAAATGTTGTAGGCCCGTGTACTCAGATTTGGGTGCACGTTAAAGAACCCCAGGTGGTCAAAATCTCCGTAGCCCTCCACTACGGCGTCTCTCATAATCAAATGGTGGTTTTGGGACGTTAAACCCCACACAGAAATCAATCAACTTATGCTCAAAACTAACGTACCGCAAGCACTTGGAATAGGTCTGCAATGTTGCACGTATACATTACATTCTCGATTATAGCCTAGAATGTACGGCACAGTTATTATTACACGTAGTCACCAACCATTAGTGATAAAACTCCAATCACAGCACTCCTCGCTATCACTGTTAGAAGCGATGCTTGCCTTATCGTTCACGCCGAACTTATGCTTATGTCAAAATATGGCAGTGGTTAGTTTGCCTCGTAAATACAGTGTGGCAGTGTGGTGTTAGAAGGAATCGGTGTGTGAAAAGCGCGTGTGAGGAATGAGGTCCTCGCACGCGATTACTTGCTCAAGCCTTGGTCGTAAAAGGTAACGTAAAAGGAAACTTTGCCGAAAAAATTCAAGCTGTTCAGTATTGAACAATATATTCTAGAAATGACTGCTTCAATGTCTTGTACGTGATAAGGCATGGTTTTCATAAAAGACCCAAAGCCAAGCAGTGGAATGCGTCCAAAAAAGCGGCATTCAGCCTTTATCCTAATTTAGAAAACAAACCGCTGTCAAGGATATCATAGTTGAAATCAAGAGTCCTAATTTAGAAAACAAACCGCTGTCAAGGATATCATAGTTGAAATCAAGAGGAAATGGGCATGGTCCGGGCATGTAGCGCGTAGACAGGATAACCGCTGGTCATTAAGGGTAACTAACTGGATTCCCAGAGAAGGCAAGCGGGTTAGGGGGAGACAGAAGGTTAGGTGGCCGGATGAAATTAAGAAGTTTACGGGTATAAATTGGCAGCAGCAAGCACAGAACCGAGTTGACTGGCGGAACATGGGCGAGGCCTTTGTCCTGCAGTGGACGTAGTCAGGCTGATGACGACGACGACGACAATGATGATGATGATGATGCATTTAAAATTAAACTGCGGCGGATCGTATTTGTGCCCTTATCAATGACAAACACTAATATAGGGCAGTCCCTTAGATCGCAAGAAAAGCGCCGGTGTCTTACAGGTGTAAAGACAAATCTCAATGCGTAATAAGTACGTGGTGCCTTTGTTACAAGCGGTATAACAACTGTCAGTGTGTTATTTCGTTGCGCAGAGGCCTCAGCTTGAAGTCCTTGTTGTACTAAAAGGCGGAATTTTCATTCGATGGACAACCAGTGCAGGGTAACTGAGGCTATGTCGATTAACTAAAGAAGTCGAGAAAAAATACACCATCTCCTGCTGAAGGGAACCACGTCTGGATGCTAAGCACTGTAAGCAGCGGGCGCTAACGCTTACACTGGTGGTTGCGTTGACGCTGGCGATCACCACGGCGTTGCGCAGGAGAGAAACCTGGGAACGCGTGAATCGCACATTAATGGACCTGTGTTTCCAAATGGAAGATGACAATAACTGCAAATGGGCAATAAGAGACAGAAGACTCCGATTGTACACAGGGCCCTGCAGTCTGCTTTTAAATAACGCGCATGCGGCGAATTCTTATTGTTCAACAACGCACAAGAGAAATCTCCGACCAGCACTACAAGGAGGCCAAGATCCAGGACCTATAGACGGGGTGACCAGTGAGTGGTTGTGCAGGGCGAACGGTAGCTTTTTTTTTTTCAATCAAGAAACTTGATATAGCAGACGCTGCCTGCGTCGGCGTTGCGAGGCGAGAGAGAGGGTCTTGGGAGAGGAAGGGAAGAGGAAGTCCATGCGCAGTGAAGTGAGGACTCCACCGGATCAAGCTCGATCATAAGGCGCTTTGCATCTAAAAAGTGCGGAACTACTCAACAAACTAAGGGAACCGGATCAACTTACCAGACGCACGTCAACTCCAAGAGATTTTTCCTGGAAGCGACAAAAAAAAAACATGATCAAACTTTCGAAAAATTAACAAAATGCAGTATTGCTTAATCGCTTATAGTTCACTACAGATCGTTTATAGTTCATTAATAACTGTTGCAGAGCGGACCCGTCGGGGTTCGGTATTCAAAAGAACACGCTTGAGCAGTCGTCTTGCAACAAGTCCTACTGGCGTTCACAGACGCCTTCAAAGGTTATCGAAAAAAATTGTCTGTGGAGTCATGTCTAGGGGTACACAGCGGGAGATACAGTTAATTATAGCTTGGTTCTCTGTATGGTTGCACTTCTTGAGCCATGCGGCTCGTTTTTCCTCTGTCTTCACTGCTCCCTGCCTCTTCATGGTTTCGTTCCGACCATTAAGCCTGGATTCTTTCCATCTCCCCGACTCACTTTTCATATCTGCTGACGAATACCACCTAGCCGGCTCCTCCACCGTTAAGTTTGAAGAGCGTGCGTGACTCGACCCGGACCGAGTCGAACACGCACACAGACGCACAACGCTGTCTTTCCACTGCAAACCCGGTCGCAACGCGGTTACACAGGCTCTTCCTCTGCCGTCATTCCACATGACGCGGCCAGTGGTGTGGCCACCAGCCGCAGCGAGACGGCGAAAATAGTGCTAGCGTAGCTCCCGCTACAATATCATGGTGTCGAATAATGTAACCTGACATTTTGTCATGCTCAACGAATGTCCTTATCATACCAGTGATGATAATATCCTATAAATGACTACATGTAAAATTTCAAAATTGAAATGGGAGTAGTGTGTGTGATATACTCTCCACACATTTATCAGTGCCAATCTCCGAAATGTCACCGGTGATTGCTACAAAAAAAATAGCCCAAATGTCCATTATATTATTTTAACCATTTTATTGTGATCCCCGACCTTGCTCAATCGTTTTCTGTGTTGTCTCATCAGTTGTAGGCGCAGAGGTGGTTAGCTGGTAGCGCATCTAACTCCAATATGAGTGATATTGTGTTCGATTCTGAGTGTCATCGAGCAATCGCTGGTCATTAGCTCATAAAGAAGCAAGAACTACCCCGACCTGGTGCTCTGGATTATGCGGATACTACTCCCCAAAGGCAGCGCTTCGTTCCATGCATCTCGCATGCTCCGCCTGCCGTTGCAGGTTTAAAGGGGTTCGTATTTTAAAATGAGCAATGCAAAATAATCTTCGAAGCTAGAGGGGTGTCGCCTACGACGAAGTAGTAAGGAATGATTCTGCGCAGTTACCTTCAAATTGACACCTACAAATTTTGATTAGCCTCGCTGTGAGTGGCATAACACTATTCAGGGCCCCCTGACGATTCAACCATACTGGGCAAAATAAAGGTTTAATTTGATTAAAAAGATCATTGAAAAATGCACTTTCGCACTTATTAACAAAAACAACGTAAGAGTGATTGGGCCTATACCTCTTTCCAGAGCAAGAAGATGACGATCGCGTCGGTGAGAATGTTGGCGAAGGACTCGGTTCCAAGACAGACGTCCAACTTGAAACCCACGTTTGCTGTAAAGAATAAAAACAATGAAGAGTTTCTATCATCTCTGAAAAGCTTAGAATACGTTATTTGAAGTATTTTTGATGTTTAGTGAATCCAAGGAAAGATGCAGTTTTGCGCCAATACGAAGAATCGATGAAGTAGAAGTGTGTAAAATAGGTGCCCGTTGTAAACGCTGAGGCTTATTTTCAAGCAAATGAATTGCACATAACACTTCCTTCTTAATTAGGCAGCACATTGTTATGTAACTACGGGTAGGCATCATTCGATTTCACTTCATGATGTCAAACGCTCGTTGTCACGAAGCTATACCTTATGAACAGATAACATTAGAAAGCAGCGAAACAGTGACGTGATACCGTCTATATAGCCCCATAGGCGTCCGGCTGTGTAGTTGTAAAGCGTCCTTGCCCAGAAATGCGATGTCCTGTTTGCAGATAAACGAACCGACAGATATCCCGAGTCTGATTCATGATAATAGAAAGACGGTATTGACACATAATCTGATGCGTTGTGGCGCTTCAAAGATTCGACTCAGCTGTGATCGATCAAAGGTGCAGTTTTCCTTTTCAGAATTCCTACGATATAATGGCATGCCAACATGTAAATATGCAAAATGTACATATTCATATTTTATTTCGGTCTCTTGTTTATCTTGAAATATTTTTGAGGTTGTGTTCCTTTGAGCCATTGAATGTACATGTTCTTTTAACGTCATCTTATATCCATGTTCATATAAAGGACGTCTGTTTTGTCATCATTGTTATTGCATGTCTAAGAAAAAAATGTTCTGTTGAGTGTTATGAAAGTTTGTGACAATAATTTTTCTGAACACACGATGATATATTCTTTTTGCTTGGAGGAAACAGTGAGCTACGTCTTTAGGTGTTCATAATCATCTTAAATATAAATGTGGTTTCGATAGACAAGACCTTCTGAGAGAGGTACCACTCGGGCTATTCTAGAGGCTGTTATATGGTAGACAATTGGGCATTCATGGCTTAAGCTGCTGTCTCAAAGCAATCTTTGATAGGTAATCAGCTATTACGGCTATGAGCAACATCATAAACAATTTTAGGGCGCTTGGTGACCCATTCAAAAATCAGAAAGACAATAGCAGACCAAAGTATTCTGATCCCCGGCTAAATACGTGGTTAGCCACGCTTCCGCCCCACGCTGTACGTCCACAACCTTTCATTTCGCATCTCATGAATGCGTATAAAAATTTTTAGCTACTTTTTATTGATCTTTCAGTTAAATAAGACAGTCGGGGAATCTCTGTCACTTTGTAAGGCTCTCTAAAACCTAGCTACTCAAATCGACACTGTACCTTTGCAGGCCACTCCGGACCACAGCCAGAATTTTTTTTAGGGGCACAGAGAAATCACGATGCTTAGCTTCATTCGGTTTAGCTACGCGCCGACAATATCGTAGCACTATGTCAGTACTACGGCTCATATTTTCTCGCATATGGAAGCTGGCTTCTAAATGTCATCATACGTCTGAACGTGTTACACGCATAAAAATGCGAACTGAACTTATTTTGCAGCATGTGTAATTGTGAGCAAAATTTTGGGTTCTCTTTTTGTACGTGCTGTTACCACGGAACACCAGCATTGAAGTGCCAACTCTTGTTCGATCCCAAGTACACAAAAGTCCGTCTTGCCAGCTCTGTTTGCTTGAAGCAAATCGCGTTTTGTAACAATAATTACTAACTTACGTGAGCCTGTCCTGTGGAATCCATAGGAGAAACGAATGACACCGATGATGTTCTGCATCTGCGCCAGTAGAAATGTATTCCCAGAAACGCTAAGTGCACAGACTCAACCGCTAACGTCACAAGAGAAGTAACTCAGGCATATTCGTAACCTGCCGATAGATCTGAAAGTGAAAATACTGAGCTTTACTTACAGTATGCATGCTGATAATAAAAATGGCTTCCATTCGCGACTTGATCATTTCTTCTTCTTTATCTTCTTTCTCGGCTCTGAACGAGAATGCAGTGGTGATGCAAGGTGGACGTTGCACGTATAGATTCGAAATAAAGGCGAAAGTCCACTGCTTGAACTGAGTTATTATTTTTTATTCAATGGCGTTAGGAACGAATAAAAAAGTATCTCCATCTGTAGGTGCATGCTAATAGCAAAACAACACTGCTGGAGCATTCGTTCAACTCCTGATCTGAATAAATTGCAGTGGGCATCATTAGTACACGTGAAATCTTGATATCATTAGCCCCAATTTTTCTTATTTCTATATCACTTATACAATTCTCTTCTGTTCCGTTAAAACCGTTTCAGCGTCTCCTCTATTTTTTCAGTGCCTGGACGAACACTCTGTTCTGGTCGTCGATTGTGCTCAGTCGCTACTCACCGCTGCAGCCGGCAAACCACGGGCCCGCATAAGGTCCACATGGAGCTATTAAGAGCTTGCTCGCACGCTCTTTAGGCTCGGGGCACGTTCCCTGGCGTGCGGCAGGTGAAATAGTAAGGGAAACAACCGCCGTGCTGTGGCATGTTCTCCAACCACTGTACATGAAGTTTCCTCAGACAACTGGGGAGTGGAAAAGTGTAATGAGAGGACCATTCATACTAGATTTTTTATTTTAGTGGCTGATGTGTATCAGTGGCATATGAGGATTGCTGTGGTTTCATAATTTTTCTTTGAAAAATACATTCACAAGCAACTTATCTCATTGAACTTCTCATTAACTACATTAAGTAGTCTAAATTGAGTGCTTTTTTTTTTCAAATGAAGAAGTCAGTGTTCCTCATGGCCATGTAACGTGCTGCAGTTACAAAAATAATGAGAAATAAGTTATTCCTCTCAGTCCACTGGAATTATGCAAGCAGTTGGCCACAGCAAGGAGAATGATAAAGTGGTTGCTTGGCAACATTAAAACATCAGCAAATGAGTGGCTGGCAGTGCACCCCTTTGTGAAATGACAACAGGAAGTATACACTCAGGTTGCAGTAATGGTAAAATAATTTGAGCTTGGCTTGCAAAGTATTTCATTTTCAAGAATAGTACGTTGTTACTTGTCGAATTAATTTGAAAAATTGCTATAGAAATTGCTTGGTGCCCATTCAGGTAAATGACTCTGATGCAGTAACTGCTTTTTGAATATTTAAACATATTCAAAATTTAATTTCATTGGTTCTGTGCTGGTACGTATTACGTTTCAAGCAATTGGCCTATTTTAGTCCGACAGTGTGTGTTGTAATGCTGTGAATGCTTCAATTATCTGCAAGCCACAACTCAGCTCCAACTAGGCATCTGCATAACTTTATGTTTAATTGTCACATTTCATGTTGCATTCCAGTGTTTATCATTGAACAAGCATTTTGTGCCACTGAGTTCATTTATATTGATTTTATTTTTTGTGGCTCTTTCTAGATGGATCTAGATTGCTGCAGATATGGAGGAATTTTGGAATTTTCCTAATTGTTTGGGAAGCATAGATGGAAAACATGTCATCATTGAATGCCCAAGGAATACCGGTTCAAGGAACTTAAACTACAAGAAAACCTTCAGTGTTGTTTTCCTTGCAGTATGTGATGCACATTACAGGTGAAATTCTTTTTCTTACTGGCCTTCTCAAGCAGTAATAACAACGAATAGGCAACTTGGTTGAATTTCCTCTCATGGTAATTCTTGACTTAATCATGTGGGCTTAAGATATCATAACAAGCAGATTGTCATACTCATTCAACATTATCTTCAATGGTGTTACAGTCACTTACGTTCATGCTAAACTGTGGGGTTCCACACTTGCATTATTACTTACACTCATAGATATTCATAACGATTTCCATTTGTTCAGATAGACTTTATTAATAGTAATACTGTTATCCCTTCCCTCTCTCTGGTACTCATTACCACTGCCACTGGCATGCCTTAAAACCTGTCGCCAGAAAGCAGTGTTGCATCTACGACAACACCATCACTCGCTCTTGTTTACACCTACCGGATGAGTGAGGAGGAAGTGAAGTCTGGGTGGTGTGCCGTATAACTATGTCTACTACATTTTCTTTTTGGTTCTCCCACTGTGTGTTTTTCCCTTTTTAGCGTGAATATGGCAACAATAATGATAAGGAAGTGAATCCTTTGGCGGGGAGGCTATGCCTCATTATAAGACGTGATTAAAAGAGAGCAAAGTAGATACAGACCAGTGTCGGATATCGCACGTCTAAGTGGAAGGCTTCAAAGTTTCGGTTGCTTGGTGTTTAATCTTTCACATGCCTTGACATCACACAGACACATACATATAGCGTTTCACTTACATCAAAGCACTGGGACCACAGCCCTGGTCAAACACATGACTTGTGACAACACACATGTAATAAAAAGCCACATGTAACAAAAAGGTGGATCATCCTGCACAATATTTACGGTATTCATTTGCAGGGGTGACCACTGAGCTTAACAAACTTTTCTTGTACACTGTATGCTCATTTTTGGAGGATAATTACATTCTGCAAGTTTTTATAGATGGCCAGTACATGTACTACTGGACTCGCTATGGAAAACCAGTCCTTTGCACAAAGGGAAACAACATGTGTTCTCATACAGCATTACCTATCACTGTATTCCAGATTTACATACGTTGACATGGGCCACTTTGTAGGCGAAGGAGACAGTGGAATTTTTTTAAGGTCCCGTTTGCTGGATCGCTTCAACAGAAGACTGTTTGGAGTTCCCCCGCCAGCAAATGTCCGAAGCATAGGACTTATACCCTATGTATTAGTAGCGGATGAAGCCTTTCCCCTGAAGACTTTCATGATGCGACCCTACCCCCAGCGAGGCAAGTTTCGTTGTGCATGTGCAGCACAATTTCTTTTCTCGAAGCTGGACAATTATACAAATACAAAGAAAATTGCTATAGAAGATTCTAGAAAAAAAATTAATATAGTAATAGAGTTAACAGTTCATAGACACTACACAAGTGAAATGGGAGTAGTTAGACAATATCTGCACTACTGAGGCATATAGTTACTGTAAACTATGCGGAGAGATTGTGTCAAAGATAGTGTATACTTCGGAAGTGTGCAACTATGCATACCAAAGCAGACTGCAGGAGCTGAGTGTATTTGTCATGTCATTGAGTGGCTCTGCAGAAAGGCCTCCTACATTTGTGGGGATTCTTAATTGGGCTGTATTATGCAGATGTTGATGGTAGTGTAGTTGACATTGTCAGTGCTTTATTAAATTTTGGAAAACTGACTTGTGTTTAGCCATTCATTGATATACGCAACATTTTGACCTTTTAGTTAGTACTTGTAACATATAAAAAGAACCAATTCTTGAGAAAAGGGGCGGTGCAATCAAATTTCGAAGGTAAAGCAAGCATGTTGTGGCAAAGCATCGTCCCAATGCTTTGCCAGTTGGCATGTGGCAGAGGTTCTCGAAAGTTCTCGTTTGTTTTGTAGGTGCTTGTATGACAAGTGTGCGAGAAAGCCAGTGAGAGCAGACGATAATCAGCATGACATGCTTCCCAGCCTTGTGTAGCCATGTGACCAAGCTACACAGACATGTCACATGCTGATTCTGCGCCTAGAAACCGAAACCGAAAAAAAAGGTCCACATAAAAAATGGTATTAATCTATTTAGCGAGAATAAATTAACCTTGATGAGTATATCATGCTTGCTGGAGAGCAAATGAAGCGCAAGCCACAAAAATGGTGGCAGCAATGCAGCTTCTGCGTACTGCTTAACTGCTTGCAATATCGCAGCCAGAATATTACATTACAGGATGACAATATGTATAAAACTCATGCCGAGTTCTTACATTCAGCGCTTGTGCTACGTACACATACACGGAAAGTTGTTTGCACAAACATAAAGCTTCTGCTTTGCACTCCAATACCTGCTGTAATGAGTAATGATACCTCATTATTTTTCGTTTGATGTTCTTACGTGCGTCTCTTTGCTTACTTAATTTTCTTTAGAACTTCAAAGCACCGGAGCAACCCTGCACAGCGTGCAGAGTACCTTCAGAGGGCCACCTTCAATTACAGGCTGAGCCGCGCACGTCGCCTCATTGAAAATGCATTCAGCATTATGTCAAGTCGGTGGCGGAATCTCCACAGAGCCTTTAGGGCCTCAGAGACCAACACCGAAAACATCATCCGGGCATGCGTCGTGCTGCACAATTTCATGTTCCAGAAGTCGCCACATGCAAGGCTGACATATAATCCACCAGGCTATGTGGACCATGAGGACTGGCAGGGCAGCTGCATGGAAGGAGCTTGGAGGGACGGCGACGATGACCCCTCTATATTTAGGGAGCCCACTGCGTCTGGCTGTCACTCCGCTAGGTAAAATTTTGAACACCCTACCCTTTATCTTTCATACGTTTGGCATTATTATGTACAATTCATTTTCTCAAAATAAGGTTTTTGCTGAAAGGCATCTTGCTGTCACAGTCACACTCTTTCTCACATCTTAATTTTAGAAAAGTACTGCCATTATTTTTGTAGAACTCGTGTTCTAATTTGCAAATGACAGTTCAGAGCAAATGTCAATAATTCTGTTCACTTTTATATTGTGTGCATCTACTTTGCAGAGTGGCGATAGATGTCCGGGAGAAGCTTGCCGAATTCTTTATGAATGAAGGCCAAGTTCCGTGGCAAGAGCGCATCGTCACTCGGGCAGGTCAGCGGGTAAACTAAAGCCTGAGTAAAGGCAGATACCCTTTATATCACTTGTTGTTCAAATTGTATTGTCAGTACATATTGTATTGCTCCTCCTTAAAAAGAACGGGACAGCGTTATAGCCTCAGTATGGAACTGGCATCCATCTTAATTTGCTTTATTCCCAACTTCATTCTTCTTTTCTTTCCTGCTCCGGCTCTCGTGCTTTTTCTTCTCCTGTCCCAGGGCTCGTACCACTTCACCTAGGGCTCATACCACTTCACCTTTTTCGGTTTCTTGTAATTACCCCTACTGGGGTAATATTTGCAGACTTTTCCAATTGAAGCATATTCAACCGATCCGCGTTCACCAGTGTACCAGACAGTCTTCAAAATTCCGTTCTGGGTGGCTGTCTTGGTCACAGAGTAAGGACCGTAAAATTTGGCACTGTCATCTCTTATTCCTTTCCTCACTAATACGAGGTCGGTGACTTGAATGTCTGGCATGTCTGCTTGATGGCTCTTGTCAAAATTATTTTTTTCATTCATTTTCAGTATCTCTCCTCCTGTGATTTTTCTTGCCTCTCCTCAATGATCTTGATGTTTTTTAAGTGTCCCAACTCACGGTCTGCCTGCAAAATAGGGGTTTATACTGAAAAAACGTACTGTAGATTGCACCCAAAGCCACTTGTATAGGATCGATTATGATGTATCACGGCGGCTTCCAAAGAACATTTCCATACACCAGGAAAACTATCGAACATCTTGATGTACTGTTTCACGCCCCGTATGGCACGTTCTGCCTGCCCATTCGCTGTGGGATGGTGTGGAGCACAGAACTTGATCGATATATTGTGATCCCGAGCCCATCTTGCTAGCTTTTCGCTCTTGAACACAGGGCCCTTATCGCATACTATTGACTGCGTAGTCTTGAACATGCCTTTTTCGAGGAGGCCTATGACGCTATTTGCATCTTCTTTTCCTGCTTGTGCCACGACCATCCTCGTGTATTCATCTATGGCCAGAAGAAAAGCTTGCGTTTTATTGACTCCGCCCGTTTCTTATTTAGTTAGGCAAAATCCAGGTGAACTACTTTGAAAGGTACGTTCGAGTGGCAAGGTAGTATCATAGCATCCGTGGGCTGTTTATACTTGACTTTGTGTACTTGACACACATGGCAGGAATGAAGGTACTGACTGACATCTTTCTTCAGGTGAGGCCACCAATTTGTTGTAGGTGCACCGAAATCCGTTGTGTCCTCCAGATTCTGGGCTATCGTAGTACAAACAAAGGACTCTGGAAACAAGTGTTGATGGGACTTAACAACTTTCAGTAAAAACCAGTTGTCCGGAGCCTTCCAACAGCTTCACTTCATTGATTTGTTCGGATTTTTCTGTGTTGCTTCGTACCATCAACCTTGATAGAGCATCTGCATCAATTAAAAGTGGCCCTGATCGGTACAAGATTGTAAAGTCGAATTGCTGCAAGTAATTCACCCATCTAGCAATACGTCCTTTAGTTTGGCTCATATTCAAGAGATTAGTGAGGGCCTGGTGATCGGTGAACAAAGTGAACTTAGTACCTTCCAGGTACAAACGGAAGTACTCAGTGCCCTTCAGAACGGCCAGGACTTCCTTTTTTGTAGTAGTGTAGTTAGTTTCAGATGGCCTAAACATGTAACTGTAGTAACCTACTACAAGTCGCTTTTCTCGGCTGGATGCTTCAACATATTTTTGATACAACACTGCTCCTGTCCCATAATGTGAGGCGTCAGTGTTCAATTCAAAGGGCAAAGTGAAGTCTGGTAGGCAGAGGACAGAGTCGGAAGAGATTCTGAGCGCCAAGTCACGGTAGACTTTCTCACATTCGTCACTCCATTCAAAGGGAACGTCTTTGTGTGTTAAACATGCGAGATATCTAGTTTTGACAGAAAAGTCCTTAATGAAAGTTTGGAAATGTCCTGCCCATGCCAAAAACACACGCAGTGAATAGACGTCGTATGGCTTTCTTCAACTGGAAGATCTTCTCAACGAACCCTTGTTTCGTGCTTTTGGTCGAAGGCATCAGGCTCTACGAATTTAGGCACCGGTTTCTCAGTATTCAGAGAGCTTATAAAGATGTTATTATTTCGTTCTGTTGCATAATCTGTTCATGTTGCAGCTGAAGAGCCTTCAAAACGAGGCTCACCTCTTTCGTCAAAGACCGTGATCCTGAGTCTCTTCGACACGCTGGTTCAAGAACTAGGTTGTAGAAGGTCGCCACATGCAAGTTCCTTTTACAGCACTTTTCCTTTGTAGTTCAGTAGCGTCCACAGCTGCCTTTCCCACAACCAGGTTTACGAGTTCTTCCGAGCAGAGCTCACGAGGTAGGTCCACCGCTGCTTCATCTTGAACTTGGTACTTCGAAAAGATGATCTCTTCCGTGGAGGTCTCGTCAACGAAGTACGTCGCCCACATGTTGGCTTCGATGGCCCGCTGCGCCAAAATAATGTAGTGTTTCAACTTAAAAGAACAGAGCAGCATTATAGCCTCAGTAGGGACTGGCGTCCATTCATTCCCAACTTCATCCTACTGTTCTTTCCTGCCCCAACTTTTGTGCTTCTTCTCCTGTCCCAAGGCTCATACCGCTATATATATAGATATATGTACCTGTTTTTCTTAGCTAGGATCCTTTTTTTGTTCTTTTTTGTTATGTTTTATGTCGCCATATATATGCTTGTTTTTCCCAATAAAATTTATTTCTGAGTCAGAACCCGTACTGTGTTTATTCTCGGTGTTCTGTGTGCACTGTATCAACCAAGATTAACGCGTACCTACTCACTCAAGCTTTCATTCTTATGAAGATGCAGTTGTTTTATTCAAGCAACAGTTCAATTTTAATAATCTGCATGCTCCGAGAGTCTACAGTGTAGGTTCACTTTGAACACAAATACATGATACTGTGTTTATCATACTATCCTAATAAAGTGTCTGTGCTAATGTATATCATAACATAGTATCTTCCAGAGCTAATTGTTATTTATATACAACGTGACAGACGTATCCCAAATAAGCATTTGAGAAGTGCCGTTGATACTGCCTATCCATGCTCTGGCAGCTCATTTTAGTGTTAATCAGAGACTGTTAACCTGGAAATGTCCGGGTTTGCCTTTCTAGCCACTCACTGCCAGAAAGGCAAGCATGGAACACATTTTCTGCCTGCTGGTATCATGTAGTACAAGAGATATCTTTTTACCAGCTGGCAAGTGACCAATAAGCTCTCGTGCACTACCTTAAAGAATGAAGTCTGCCATAACTAGACCTTTCCTACCAATTATTGCGACAAGAAAAACTTTAAGGGATCATTTTTTTATTGTGTAACATGTATAGAAGCATTTCAGTGATGCAGTAGTGAAGTAGATGTATCAATGGTTCACTCATGTCTGCTGGTACTTTGTTCTTAAACATGTCTTTCTCCGCATCAGTAGCGCTGCCACATTGCTTTGACATGAAGATCAGAATGTGCTATATATATGTTCATGAGTGCTCCATCAATAGATATAAATGGTTTACTTGTGATTACTATGGCTGACCTTCTCTGCTATAGAAAAGTTTTGCACAAGGACTAATTCACAACACAATTTTGCAAAACATCAATATGTTGAATTTATTTATATGTGAGAGAATCCATACGAATATTGCAATGAAGCATCAATGTGACTGCACAAATACAAAATATTGCACTGAAACACAATTGAAATCACAGAAATGCAAATGCTGCACTGAAACATAATGTGACTGAATAAATACAAAACATTGCACTGAAACACAAATGTAATAAGACACAATGAGAGCTTTTTGTACTTAACATTGACACAAATGGCATACGAAAGGAACAATACAGTATTTGCATTTTACCTCTGACTTTTTTTTTTTTTACGTGCTTTAAGTGCGACTATTTGACCATATAAACTCCAAAAGTGCCCTGAAAAAAAAAAAGACAAAGAAATGCGAACATTGAACTGAAATGCAAATGAGCATACACAAAGACAACAAATTGGACAGATTTCGAAATCGTATCGATGTTGATGTTCCATTCGAAGCAGTTCCGAAGCTTGTACCTTCCATAATTCCCGTGGGGAGTACAAGCGCTCCTGATGAAGCCCGCGTAGACACTAGTGCCAGATCTCCCTCTAAATATTACTACGGAACTCTCTGGTAGAGTACAACTTAATAAATATGCAGAGGCCTCATCTAGGTGACCAAAGCACAGCAGCTGACCATCTTTACCACTAAAGAAGCAGTCGTTCTCATGCACTTTTCATTTTCCGAAACCGGGTACCCCGGCCATCCAACCCATGACATCAGTCTAAATTTCACCCCCATTGGTGAAGACTTGTGGCCTTTGAGGAGTAAATGCTACAGACATCTAAAGCTGTACCTGACTGTATTGTTCGGGCTCTGCCTAAGCTTAGTAATGAGTGTACTGCCTGTGCAACAAAAAAGGTCCCCATCGAGGAAATCATTGACAATAAACTCTAAACGGCTTATAAATAAACAAAGTACACGACTTTTTGGAACGATTTCAAACAAAATACCAAACAGGCAGAGGGACACCTATAAAAACAATATCGCAGCCTTAAAATGCAAACTTACATTCGTAGTTCTTTTGAAAACAGACAAAAATGCCCGTGGTTTAAAACACATCTGAAAAGGAAGACTCCTCACCAGGAAGAGGCTTCATCACAAATCTAATGGTACAAGGAGCTTCCATCAGCAAAATAAAAACAAAAACCCATCGAGGGAAGTATTCACTGACTATAAATTATGAATTGCTTAATAAACAAAGTGGGTCACTTTTGACAACAATTTTAGAGAACATAGCAAACACTGTGGAAAATCGATAAAACATTAAGAAAACCTTGAAAATTGCAATCTATACTCGTGATTCTTGTGAAAACAGACAAAATTTACCCATGGTTCTCAAAAGACAACAGATCAAAGCACTTTCGCAAATCTAGTAGGACAAGCAGCTCCCACTAATCATAAAATCAGTATTGCCAATGTGTGAGAGAAGCAAA